TAGGGACCTGACACATGCCACCTCCCTGTCCAGTGACTCCGTGATCAATAGACAACAGCAGAGAAAAGGTGACAAGACTTCACAGGTCAGGTGGCAAGGCTCTGTATTAGCACAACTCCAATGCAGTAATGAAACAATCTCCAGCATTTCATTAGAGGTCAGCAGTGTAGCTCCAATACAGCAGCCAGACCTGATATAGAGCAATTGTTCAGTAGTGCTGGCATCAGTAAAGTGTCGTATGACTCTTAAGGATAAGTATTTTCATGTATTTGTGCTGGTGTGACCCTGGAAGAGATGGAATTTGCTGTGTATTAGAAATTAGTTCTTAAAATGTGTCCAAAGGCTCACATAAAAACCTCAGCCCTCATCTGCCCAGTACCACCTAAAAAAACATGTCCAGTTTGCAGAACCCCTTACAAAATGCATTCGGCTTTGTTGGAGTTGGATGGTGAAGTTTTCATCAACACATTAGCAGAGGCAATCGCAAGGGGGCACCACATATAACAGAGGGACACAGTATGTAACTAAAAGGATACATGTGGGCACTGTGTAATAGAGGGAAGCTTTACTTAATAGAACATGATTTATCTGTTACCTAAATAGGACATGAACTATGGAAGTGGTTCCCAAAAAAGGCAAACAGAGGGCAAAGGATCAGTCAGCTATATTGCCTGTAGGCTCCCTGCAGCCGATCCCTTACCCCATCACTGACTTAACATTCTTTGTTTTGACTGCATGAAGGCAGCCGTCTTGGTAGAGGAGGGGTTTTCATCCTCCTGTCAGAGCTGCCCCTGATGAGAGGTGATCTGAAGAATAAACAAATCAAGAAGCAGCAGCAGAGGTGGAGGAAGCTAAGATCCACAGACTGAGTTAAGGTGCCCATACACTTTACAACCCTCGCAAGACTTTTTTTTACAACCCTCGCAAGACATTCAGATCTGGTTACCTAGGGCATCTGCTCCAGATTCTGTCTGCTCCAGTTTTGGTGAATTATCCCCACTCGGTTTTATATTCTGCAGTTTATACACTGTATATGCACCTGCATCATGTTTACACACAAAATAGGAGCACCACATAAAAAGTGATCTATGTGGGCATATAACTAGTATTTAAAAAGTGAAAGAAGATTAACAAAATACTTCCCCAGTTGTTTTGAATAAACAGTAGAGAGATTATATTATTCACCTTTATATCTTTACCGCTTCAAATGTTTCCTCTACCTACTAAATACAACAAACCAGTATTTATCACAGCTAGTAAAAAAAACATACTGGTAGGCCAGGTCTCAGTGGAAAAATACAACATACTAAATTCTACAGAGCTGAAGCAACAAAAAAGCTGAGATGACCACATCTGTCTAAAATATAGCCCGTTCAATAGCTTTACAGCATTCCATTATTGACATAAACCCTATTTGCCACAGAAAACAACAGATGCAGCAAATATATTTGTATGAGTCACCTGATTGAGAAACAATCTATTAGGAAATTCCTTTTTTTGTTCCAGTAAATTCATGAATGTCACAAGATGCTGCTAGAAGTAGAGTAGAGGTGTACTTTCATAGGCAGGTTGTGATGGAAAACTAAGGTGTCTGGCTTTTTCCCCAAACCCAGAATACCACTTTCATGTTAACATATTTACTGTGCACTTATATTTAACTACGATATCTTTCTTTTCAATCCGCTTTACAGTACTTTGCAGCACCCTTCCAAAACAAATCAAAGAAAATACAATAATAGCATCGTCTTTGGTCAGTGAGTGACAGTCATGCAGTATACAGCTGGAAAAGGAGTGATCCCCAGGCACAAAAGAAACAGCATAGGTACATAGGTACAATGTGATTGCCTTTGATGCTTGTATTTAAAGGGTATCTGTCACTTTTCCTACTCAGGGCAAAGTGATAGGTTCCCCTGATAGGCCCTGTTATTCAACCACTGATACCTTCCCACATGCTACCTTGCCATCCTGTTATTCTGCAAGAGTGCCAAGTCTAATCCCTGTGTAAGCTCTGTGCCAGCCTGTGTTGGAGCTTGCACAGCATTCATGGCCTCTCACTCCAACTGATGAGTGGAGGAGTGAGGCGAACACAGCAAAGGAATCAAGGTAGGAAGGGCCTATAATGAGAACCTGTCATTTTGCCCTGAACGAGTAAAGTGACAGTTTCCCTTTATAAATGACCAGTTATGTTTGGGTCTATGAAATAATTTTTCCTCAATTATCATAATATTTCAAGGTTACACATAAAAAATATATATTCCCCTATTATTTAACTGTACTAGCTATACCTGAACCTAACCACCTATTCTTAGTCCACTGGTGAGATACTCCTTCTCTTAATTTCTCCTTAAAGTACAATTCTGCAGCACATCTAACTGGCTCTCAGTAATGACTCTGCCTCTCCCATTCTGAGATCTCCTGTACAGAACATTTTGACACTTGTTGCATTTACAAAATTGATATACTTTTTTTTTGTTAACAGAACGCTTTATTATTTTTAATTATAAATATACAAAAGAGAATAATATTGAGAACACGAAAAACAAAAAGGGAAAGACAGCAGGGCACTATACATCCATTAATACCTTTGATACCAACGCATACATGCAACATCAGAGGGCATTGAAACCACATAAATTCCCACGACCTTAAAAAGAAAAATAGAAGAGAAGCAAAAAAAGAAGGTGGAGGTGGGGGAACTAAGACATAGCCCAAGGGCAGGAAGGGGAGGTAAATAGGGTCAAAGAAAAAGAAACAGAAAGGACGGGCGAGAATTAGGATGAAGACAATGGTGTATGGGGAAAAAAAGGTCCAAAAAGGTCAATAAATATCCCCTGAGGAACAAATGTACTGGGAGGTATTAATCCCCAATAACTAGGTCATGAGCAGTGAGCCAGTCGGCCCAGATCTTCTCAAACTTGGCAGGACAGCCTCTACCCAGATAGATAAGCTTATATAGAGGCAGGGCTTTGTTAATTGCAGCTTTTCACTTATATACTTATTTTAATTAAAACATTACTGCATTCATTGACGGTAATTATATCTGCTTGAAGTTCAGCATTTAAACGACAGAAGGATACATTATAAGGTAAATTAATCACATAAATAAATCATTCTTTCATTTTTTTTTCATTTTTTTGAAATGACACAGGGAACTTACACTTTAAATGTTCCTGAGCATAACACACAATCTCAAAGTGAATAATCTGAATGCAGTTGTTTGGAAATAAAGATCATGATAATTTATTATTGTTACTCGCTATTTTTTTTCTATGGAACATATTGAAGCTAAGTGACTTTTCACCATTATTTATGAGTCTGTAGTCAGTCACATTTGAAGGAAATCAAATTAATAAAATTCGGTTATTTAAGTTTTCATCTCTGCAGCCGATATTCACTTGAAGCACAATGTTCTCATTTCAAACATTTCTCTGTGCAACTGTTATTGCGTTCTAATGTCTGCTGGAATATCCAATAGTGTGCTATCCCTGAAAGACCTTTCTGTATAGCAGATATGAAAAGCCTTTGTACTGTTAAAAAATAAAATATGCAGAGAAGGCCAGAGATCTGCAATATAAGAATAGGGCTACATGCCAGCTGTCTAAAAACTTGCAGACAATGCAGGTTAAGGTAAAAACATTATTGATTTTTCTTTGCATTAGTTAATAAGCATATTATAAGTATAGGGTTTAAAACAACGGCTTTCCTTGAAACCCCAATTGCCCAAATGGTGGTTTAGGGACCCTTGTAGCCAATTGGTGCTTGCTGACAGGCTCTTGGACCCTAGCAGTCTGTAGAGGATATATGCAATATATATGTAAAGAGGTATTGCAGTGATCTCTGTAACATAACTCCCGTTTCTCACTTCTTCTGCAGCATGTCTCTAATAAAACCTGCAGCATGCGCCCCCTCTCACCATCTTCAAGTATGTCTGCAGTCTCCGAAAGTCCTCTCTAGCATTACTTAATGCAAACTTTATGTACGGCCTTTTAGTGATGTTGGGGGCTGCAGCCTCCAATACCTCATAAGTTGAGAACCACTGTTTTATGGATGCAAAGCAAAGGTGTTTTTATGGAAAGGAGTAAGAAAAGATCATCACTTACCTCTTAGAGCAAACGTGAAGTGATGTTGCTATTCCTAAATTGTCAATCTGATCTCAAAGTAGCGTCTACTTTATATCCAGAGGGCCCCAGGAGTCCCAAAACCTGGACTAAACTGTTACGAAAATACTGACTTCAGGTAGAAAAGCAGTATTTTAGTCCATCCCAAAATCTCACAATCTTACATCACACCCATAGCCCATAACAAGGACAGGAAGAGTGATGGGACAGACCAATGTTTCACCTGATGACGATGGTGTGTGCCTACTAATGGGCCTGTGTTTTGGGGCTCTTAAGATTCTGTAGAAAAAAGCAGAATCTACCTGCAGGTTCCTGCAATTGAATTGGCGGTTTAGGAAGTCTGACAGCACTATACATATGTTTTAACCTAGATATGTTTGTTACTTTCGGATTGTACAGTTTATGAAGCGGAATTGCTCAAAAATCATAGGACATGTCAGTCACATGACACTTCAACTTTAAAAGCTGGATGCTTCAAATAAGAGTAAGGGATGGACGGGATAAAAACTATTTAATTACATTTAAGCAGATTGTTAGTTGTACCTGTGAATGTACAATTCAACATAATGTCCATTTTGGGGGTTAGCAGAACTATGCAATGAAAATATTTGTGTGTGCAAGGTCACTTTACCATTTATTATATTAAATCATCAAACTGTACTTTTTTTTAAAAATCTGGCTACAATACCTGAAAATACCTAACAATTAAGACAAATAAATTGTAAAAAGAGTTTTCTACATTTCACAAGATTGTATGGTCCAGAACCATAAATGTGATGTTATATTAAGATAACAAAATACAACTGATGATGCACAATTTGTTCAGAACACCCATGGAGAAGTAATTTTACCATCAATCTCAATGGTAGGCTCATTACTTACAGCATCTTTTTCTGGATTGCACACTTTCACCCACAGGATGTGGTCCAGGAGCCAATCAATGGGCTTGTCTTTGTAAAACATGAGGATAAACTCGACAATCATACTAAGGTCCAGAGACTTGAAAAGCTTTCCTGGTAATAAAAAAAAATGTTTTTATTTAGGTTTCTCTTCTACAGTTGCAAATAATTTTTCTTAATATGTTTTCAAACTATCCACTCTGGATTATAGCGTTTGATGGATAGCGTTTCCCCTGGGAAAATTGGAGGTACTTCAGCAATAATGGCAGCAATCATACGTAAGCGATCATAGCGAGATCAATAGAGGTACGAGCAAACAGTACTGTATGAAGGTGATTCCAGGAAAACAGAGCTGGCAAACAAGTATAATAAACATGCAAATCTATCAAGAAGCCAATCTGTTATTTAATATCTTGTTATTACATTCAACAATTTGTTTTGTACAAGACAGCTGGTTCTTTCACATCCATTGCATCTAATGAGCCACTGTTAACCTGGTTCTGCACTACATAGCAAGAACTACATGTCTTCACCCCCTCTTTCTTATTCCACTGCCTCATTTTGTATGCTATGCTGTACACTCCCTATTCCACACTGGCTCATTCTACATGGTTTATTGTACATGTTCCATATTCCACACCACCTCATTCGGTACACTGTGCTGTACAATCCCTATTCTGCACTGTCTCATACTATATATTCCCTATTTCAAACTGCCCAATTCTGTTGCCTGTGTTGTAAAATTCATATACCACACTGACCCATTCAGAGCCGTAGCTAGCTCCTTTTGCGCCCGAGGCAAGAACAGAAAATGTTGCCCCCCCCCCCAACAGACGTGTGATGTCACTCGACGCTGCGCCTCTGCGGCATCATGTGCCCTGCCTCCAGGATGGTTTGCGCGCATGCGCAGAATGCACGGTGGCCAAATCCAAAGTAGCAAAAAAATGTGTTTTGTTTGACGAAACTAATGAAAACATTTTTAGTTTCCGTTCATTTCGTCCCAAAATTATTTTTAGTCTTTGCATATGTCTAATAATATGTGTGCATGGGTGTGAGTGTGTGTGTGCTTATTATTATTATTAATATTATTATTTTTTACTGTTGGGGGGACTTGGAAAAAAAAGGGGTCTAAACAGATTGCTGACATTTCCCTTTAGAAAAAGAAATTGAGGATACAGATCCCCAATCTCTTTTTCTGCAGCATCTGGTCTACATGAACGGAGAACACTCAGTACATAGGCTTCCCATTCATTCAGGAACTGGTGATAGTAAAATATTTACTATCGTCCAGTTATCAATAGGTAGAAGTCTCTGTAGTGAGTGCTTCCACCCATTCAAAAACTCATGAATGTACAGGAAGTGATGTAAAGCACTCCCTGTTTATTCATAAGTGGGGACACAGTACTATGTGTCCCCAGTTGTTTACAGACATTGGAGTGCTGATCACTCCAGTGTTTGTTCTGCGGACAGTGGATCGATATATTTTATTGATATTTACAGATCCTCCTGCTCTCCATCCTGATGCCTCTGCCCATATAGGTGGGGAGACCAGCGGGGATCCGTGGAGGAGCTGGAGCTTGTGCCTTCCCTCTTCTCCCTGCTGGGCCGCGGCTGTGTTGGCTGCCTAGTGCCCCTGTTGCCATGACGTCCTGTGCACACCATGGCAACAGGGGCGAGGGGGCGCAGCCAAGCTGGCCCTCGCTGTGCCTCAGGCGAGTGCCTCACTCGCCTCATGGTAGCTACAGCCCTAGACCCATTCAGTACACTCGGCTGTACATTTTATACTCTACACCACTCCTCTGTATACACAGTTCCCCATTCGATATTGTTTGCTATATATTTTATATTCCACTCCAATTCATTCTGTACACTGTGCTGTACAATTTATAATCCACACTGACTCATTCTGTGCACTGTGCTGTACAACCCCTATTCCACATTGTCTAATTCTGTACACTGTGCTGTACAATTTATATTCTGCACTGACTCATTGTGCGCATGGTTTATTTAGCCATAATGTGCTAAAATGCTGTGCATACAAACACATTATAGCTAAAAGCTCCAAGGGTTTTTCTTTTTTTTACTTTACTTTACATCTGCTTTAAAACATCTATTGCTATATAGACAAAACTTTGTAACCTGGAGTTGTTTATTGCGAAAAACATACTGAACAAACACATTTCAAAAAGTAAAAACGTTTTTATATAAAATGGCAAAAAATATTACAAAATTGAAAAACGAGCTAGTAAGGGCAGTGTGATGACCAATTATTAAGTTATCTAGAGGTTATTCGAGGTAAATAGTGAAGCATGTTATTCTTCATCTCTATGTAACAACTGCAACTAAAGGTTACATTGGGATTGCTGAGGAGCAGAGGCTATTTACTTTGGAAAGTACATGTAAGTAATCGCGTGTAAGGGAAATTAAAAACAAAATATAATTCTGTGTTTATCATTCTATATAACTGGTGAATTGAAATGAACACAGATCTACCTTAGTCAACATTCACTTTGATAAGAAAACTGTCTGTATCCGTTAAAAGAGAACTATGGAGTAAGTGTTTTTCCCCATAGTTCTCTTTAGGGTCACGGGAGGACATATACTAACCTACTCTCGTGACCCAAAGCTCAGTATATAGCAGGCTATTGCTCGCGATATATACTGAGAGCGCCGCAGCCGGGACGGATTCCAACAATACTGTCGTGACCCACCCAGCTGTGTGACAGCTGGCTTTGCCTATCTAGAGGCCCATCCCCTCCCCTATTCGTTCCTCCACTCAGCACTGGAGGATGGGAGAGGGGAATCCCTGCGGGGAGTGGTGACTGACAGTCACCGCTCACTGCAGGGAGATGATTGGGAAGTGAGCAGATCGGTGCATGTTTCTGCTCACTTCCCGATCTATAGAGCTGAAGTGTGATCACTCACCTCATAGTTCTCCTTTAAGGTTCTCATTTTGACATGGAATACATAGGCATAAACAGATAAACAGTGGTGCGATATGTCATAGTACAAAAGCACACCGATCCAACACACTTATTGCAGTGCAGGACAATGCACGGTAACGCACTACTGTTTATTGTAGTGCGCTGCATCAGAACAACAGTGCATTAAATAGGCTAACATAGAGCAACACGTTAATGTGCATTTGTTGATGCACCTTAAAGCAGCAAATATATCTAAATTGGGACCTTAGCAAATCAACCTAATTGAATACATCAATGATTACTGAGGCAAACTGTCCTGGCAGGGTCTCCTCTGGGAGTGGGCAGCAGGGGAGTGGGGGCAATTTCGAGACACACTAGGTACACCCTGGAGACTCAAATGAAGTTCTTTAGGGTGAACTTTTTATGCTGATTTCTCCCACAAGTGGTTATAGCGATCTCGTTGCTAGGTAATTAATTTGTTTTAACCACTTGATGATCGGTGTGTTTACACCCTCTTCCTGTCCATGCCATTTTTCAGTATTCAGAGCTGCGGTACTTTGACTAGCATTTATTCCGTCATGCAATGCTGTACTGAAATGAATTTTATACCATTTTTTGGGGACAGATAGAGCTTTCTTTTGGTGGTACTTAATCACCACTGGGGTGATTAAGTACCAACGAAACAGTACCGCAAAGTTTGGAAAAAAAAACATTTTTTTCCTATGTTATGAAACATTTATTATGACTCAATTTTTTGGTGAAATATAAAAGATGAGGTCACGTCGGGTAAATAGACACCAAACACATCAAGCCTTAAAATTGCGCACGGGCGTGAAACCACAAAAACTACCATACCCAAAATTGGCCATAGGCGACATTTTTAAAGCTTTTATTGTTCATCAATTTAGTGTTATCAGTGATTGATGGCCCTAGAATTATTGTTCACGCTCCGATGTTGGCTGTGATTTGAAACATATGCGGTGTAATGGGCGCAATCGTAATTTTTGCACATAGGTGCACCCGACATATGTTTATGGGTGAACATGGGGGCGGGGAATTATTTAAAAAAAATGTTTTTTTGTTTTTTACATTCAAGAAGCCGCCCACCCGCATTCAAAAAGCTGCCGTCCGGCCATTTAATTACAACGGCCAGACGGCAGGTGGTTAAAAAAATTCAAGGAAAATAAGTCTTTAAGGACTTTTCAGTCCCACTGCCTGTGCTGCTGTTTTCCCTATTTACCGGCTGCCCGAAGAATATTTAACATCTGGCACACTTCAGAGTCAGATGCCTGATCTCCGCTACCTTGTGTGTCCCCTATGTCACTATTGTGTCCTATAGTGACATGGGGGCTGGTTGAATGAACTACAGAGCGCAGAGGGGGACCAGGCATCTAACACTTCCAAAATTGTCACATGCAGAATATTCTTCAGGCAGTAGTATCTCTTGAATAAAGAAGAGAACAGAGACCTGGGCAGTAGGACAGGTAAGTATTAAAATGATTTTAATCAGGTTTTTTTGTTTGGTGCTTATTTAATAAGGCTGTCATTCTCAACCTATACAACTTACTGAGTGTATTTTCTGGAACACAGAATGGAAGTTTAGATTGTGCATGTTGCATGCTTGCTCCAAGACTATATGGTTGATTTACTAAAAGAGTACAACATTTTCACTTGCGTGAGGCTAAGGGAAAATTCACATTGCTATAAAACACCCAGTCACAAGAAAGGGAAAAAAAACAGGATTTTTACTTGCACATGATTGCTTGATAAAAGTCAGCACAGCTTTCACTAAGCCAATTAAAAATTCACTTAGCTTAGCGAATAAGGCGATGCTGTGCTGACTTCAACTTCGGCGATCAACTATTATTTTTTTTCCTAGGACACGATTAGGTATTCTTTGCACATTAAATGCAGAGTGAACATGTACTACTTCTTTAGTTAACTAACCCCACTGACTTATTAGATGGTGCAGCCAGGATCACAATAGAATTCCAAATTTCCTGACTTTATCACCACCATTTCATCTTGTTTTCATTTTTTTTATATACATTCAAGGTGGTCTCCAAATCCAGATGGCCAATTCATGTTTTCCTAACTTGTCCAAAAACAATGTCGACTTTACTCACTAACAGCTTTTAAAAAGAACTTTAGCTCTTCAAATCACCAGTACCCAGACAAATGGCAAATTGG